TAGTATTTACAGCGAACGGCCTAAATAATGTAACCTGAATTAGGTCGAATTTAGGGTATAGGCCGCGGAAAAAACTTACGGTGTAAACCAGGCCATTCACACGATGTGCATTGCGCATTGTGTGAAAGTTCGATATAAGAGCGACAAAGTGACGATTATAGAACGACAGAGCGACGACTATATAGAGCGACAGAGAGGACTAATGAAGCGCAAGAGTGGGGGAAGTTATCCGTCGCCACTTTTTGCCTCACCCCCACTACCGCTATTGGCACCGAGTTGACCCTCCTTAGTTCTAGTCTTCTTGGATGCACGTAATTCAAAAATATAAATCGAGGTGATGGTAACGCTCAAGACAGAACACGTCCGCACCGCACGAGCGACCTCTCAAGACACTTACAACGCTCAGCTCTTAATTCTTTGTCTGTTCGCGAATTTTATAAGTGAATTTTGGATCGATTTTTAGCGTGGATAATATAGAGATTGATAGAAATAATTAAATTACGCACATGATGTAGAGATGGCGCCACATGAAGTATAATACGTATAAAACTAAATGATGTATTATACTTGTATAATACCATGTATAATACTATGTAAGAAACCTCGTGTATGATACGTGCTCAACCCTGGCGCTAACTCATGTTTAAGGGGTGAAACACCCCTTTGAAAAAAAAACGGTATTTTTATTTTGAGCCGAATACCGTCGGAAGTATAAGACGGAAAAAAATTTTTTAAACAAAAGTTGTACGGTTTCAAAAAGTTTCAAGAGTACTTCAATGTTGTGAAGAAAAAAAAATTAAAAAAATTTTTTTGTTAACAATTGTTAAAAAAATAAAAAAATGTTTTTTCTTCACAACATTGAAGTACTCTTGAAACAGTACAACTTTTGTTTAAAAAATTTTTTTCCATCTTTTATACTTCTGACAGTATTCGGCTCGAAATAGAAATACCGTTTTTTTCCAAAGGGGTATTTCACCCCTTAAATATGAGTTAGCGCACGTATAAAAAAATACGTGTCTAATAGCGTTTTCGATTGGAAAAAAGTTAGTGCGCACCAGTGCGCACTCAGTTCATACTAACACTGGACGAGTTCCATGGGTTGCATTGAATAGTGCAAGTTCAAAAGAACACGCCAAGATTTTCAGTGCTAAAGCTGGAGTGCCATTTCGAGTTATAAGATTGTAAGGATTTGACTAGACTGCAGGAAAAACGATCTCGACATCTCATGTTCAAAACTTTAAGTAATGATTGTTTACTATATGTAATTAAATAATATATAAGATATCAAGAATATCATATATGTACATACTTAACAATAATTGTACACATTTGCATGCTATAAATTACAGATTTGCTTGTCCCTACTGTATATCCTTTGATACTGTGACAAAACGATGCACTGATATCCTATATATGTATCCAGTGCACTGAACTGGCACCGTCAAAATATCTCGTACCACTTAGTGCGCACTGAGTGCGCACTACGCGAGTGTCGTGCGGTCAAATGAACACGTGACACTAGCTAAGTGCACATTGGTACTGCCAATCGAACACGCTCTTGACACTGAGTGCAGCTAGTGCATCCCAATCGAAAACGATATTAGATTTTCGTGTTTAACAACATATTTCATGGAGAATCAAATCGGTTCCGGACAGTTGTGAAACTTCCCTTGTTAAACCTTGTGTACACGATGCTAGAAATTGGTCCGAGATCTCGGAGAGAGAAAGAATTAACCAATCGCATTTAAACAATTTAGTCACATGATCAATGCGATTGGTCAATTCTTTCTTTATCCGAGATCTCTGACGGATTTCTAGCATCGTGGACACTGGGCTTTAGTAATAAATAGCTGGACCCCCCCCCCATTCGTGTGTGTCAAGTTAATTCTCGTAAAGAGAAAAGGTATACGAAAAACGGCAAAAATTCAGAATCATGCATTTTTGATAGATAAATAGTTAACATATATTAATTATAATTATAATTAAGGAAAGAAATGATATGTTTAATGCAAGTAATAAAAAAATTTTATTTACTCGCAATATTTTATAAATACTATTACAGAAAACTAGACTTTCTAACTTTTATTCTTTTTTTAATTACTAACATAATTTGTATAAATAATCTGTTTGATATATTTTTAAACGTAGAACGCATGTTTTTAAAACTACAAAATTCATTCCGAAATAAATGTAATTTATTGATATTAATAAGCATGTCACAATTGAAATAAATCTCAGAATGCAGTTCTCATCGTAAGAAAATACATATAATAAATTTTCTTAAAACAACTGATAACACAGGCCTGCAAAATTGGAGGTGTTGAAAGTTGATTGGAATTTAACAATGTTTTCTTATGTAATTTTTTGCGCTGAAAGTGCAATCTCTCTCTCTCTCTCTCTCTCTCTCTCTCTCTCTCTCTCTATATATATATATATATATATATATAAGTGTCGTTGTACCACTAGAGACAGCAACATAAAATACTAGTAAGACATGAATAGTGAAAGTATAACAATTCTCGTAGATTTAAAAATATTCTATGACAAAAGGTAGAAGAGTCAGCTAATCTGTCCAGAAATACCGTTTGTTCTAATACAACGGTGTACAGATTAGGCTTCTATGAGATACAATTCATTGAACTTTGAATAAGTATATCTCCGAAAAAAAAAAATCACTTTGAGATGATTCAAAATGGATTTTGAAGGGGCTATAATAGTAAATGATACCATTGATGGATTCGACAATAAAAATTTTCTTAATTTTTAATTTAATTTAAAATATGGTTGAAAACGGTTTTTTTGGCAGTTAGCATATCTCAAAATCTTGACGTGATAGAGCAATTCTGCAGCCATATTCGGATTCAGCGCAAAAAATCACATAAGAAAACATTGTTAAATTTCAATCAACAAAACCATGCAGGCCTGTGTAATAGGCCTATTCGCGTTATTTGAAATCTCTAAATATTTTTGCACTTAAAATGGGATAGATATATATTTAGGCGTTGAAAAGAGAGAAAACGAAGATGTTGAACGAAAAAAGTGCAAGCAACGCGAACAAACCTAATATTACAAGTATTTTTTATGTCCTTTTTCTCCAATTTATGCTTACATGTTAGATTGTCTCATTATTTTATGTAATTAATTTATCAAAATTATAGAGGATATATAAATAATTCACATTATTTTTCAGAAATATATATTTTATATATAAATATATATTTTGTATCCAAAACATATATTTATATATAAAATTAATTATACGATTAGACACGGAATGTCCTTCTTTGCATCCTTTTAATTTTTTCTTTAAAGAAATTAGATAGGCTTCTTAAACTCAATTAAGAGAGATACTTAAATCTTACCAGAATATTTATAAAACTTTTTGAATGTATTTAACTGTACTTTGAAAACTTCCTGTAATGATGTTGGTAATGTACGAGATAAAAAAGTGAGTCCATGCTGATCACAGATGCTAATTAATTGACACAAAGATTCGTGCAAAGCTATCTGCAACAGTAATGATAAAAGTAATTAAAAACAATCTTCCTGAAAGTCCGAAAGTTATCGGCGCGCAATCATATCTGGAATAAACTGATTTAATAAAGAATACATAATTCGAAACATCTAACTTTGACCGATCATGGCTTTCTTTGTCGTATTTAAAAACAATCTATTAAGATAATAATTAGAAGATATCAAACAAGGGAAAGTATCTTAGTACTTTCGGCCAAAGCAGAGCTTACTTAATTAATAACATTAATATTTATATGCAGATTTACAATTTTATAAAGTGCGCGCTGATTCAGTTTGTCGGACTTGTAAAGATGTTACCTTAACATAAGATGGTATAGTGCTTTCCACAATTAATTGCAAGAGATCAGCGATAATATAAGGACTTAATCGGACCATAGCTTTTTTCAATTTTACTAGCATGTTTGTCAATCTGAAAGAAAATGTCTATTACTTTCAAATCAATTCTTTTAATAAATAAATTTTAAAATATTGATCATATCGGTATTTGATCGGCTATTGATATGTTGAATATTTTTTAATTAATTGAATTTACTTTGTGATATCGAGCGCATAACATCTAAATCGATGCTCGTTGAATTTATCGGCTACGTTTCTCGATGAATGAACAACGACGTTTATCGTGCGTCTGTATAATAATAATAAATTAGGTAATCTGTCTGTTATCAAATCAGTTTTGACTTTCATCAATGCTCTGCATACAGCAAGTACGTGTTCGCACGATGATACATTCGCTTCGTCAAATGACTTTAAACTGATCAGTATAATAAGATCGACCGTAATGTCAGGAATAAGTAAATGTTTAGTACTGATTATATCGTGAGATAAATGCAATAGCCCTGACCAATATCTGTGTGGTACATCTAATGTTAATATAGTTTCTAACAGATTGTTGATCGCACTCAAACGCACTTTATTACGTTTGACATTCATATCTATTTTAATTATATTGCTCCAAATGACAAATATATTTGTCCATACTGCTTCATCTTTTTGTGACAAGCTATTGATCTGTAAAAACAAGGAATCAATTTTAAATATGCATAAATATTAATTACTACATATGTATATTAATAAGAACATATTAATAAGAAATACATATAGATTAATCACAAGATATTACCGTTTGATCATGCAACAGTCTTAAGAATTCGTAAAACTCTTTCAATCCAGTAGATGTTAATAAGTGTTCGATCAAATTCTTATAAGGATGCTTCAACGTTATAAACCACAAGTTGATGATCATATCTTGAATTTCAAACATTTTTCGATGCTGTAAAATAATGATAGACAATTGCACACTTTGTTGCAATAACTTATTATTTGTATCGTTTAAATTTTCTCTTGCCTGTGTAAAAGAAAATTATTTTTTAATATTCTCCGCCTAAATGCAATACGTAAATTGCAAAAATATCACATTAAAAAAATATAATTGCTTTCACATATTACTTGCCGTGAGTATATTTTTGAGAGTTGCTTCAGTTAATCTTTTTAAAGTGTCAGTAACTTTTCCAGTTTGAAAAGTTATTTTTAATATCGCTGTTAAACATTTTACATCAAAAGCATCATTTATATGTTCAGGTAATAATTTTAAAATAGTTTTGGCTAATTTTTTTTCTGCCCTTTTAAAAATGACTTTTTGTTCAGCATCCAATTTTGATTTAACAATCTCCATACATTCCAAAATAGTATACATTGCTTTCTTGCATTGAATACAACT